GCTGCATCCAGAGCCATCTGGTACTTCCAATCAACACCTCTGAAGAACATTCCTAGCAGCTGCACTTCATTAAACCCATGGTGTGGACAGTCCCTTTGGTACAGCTTGAATCTCACCCAAGCTGCTTTGAAAGCTTCTGTTGGACCTTGGGAGAATGTGGCGATATTTCTCTTCAACTCTTCTGATCTTGCATCATCATAGAAGTTGTTGAGGAAAGCAGATTTGGTATCCTCCCATGTAGTCAACGAACCAGGTTCCAGCTGTTTGAGCCAATGTGCTGCATCTCCTTCCAAAAAATGAGGGAAGAGCTTGCAGAATAGGAAATCATTAGTGACTCCATTGGTTTTAACACTTGAAGCCAGGTCTTCAAACTTCTCTATATGGTCCATTGGATGTTCATGTGGAAGCCCATGGAAAGGGTGCTGCCCTACAAGCTGATAGTAACTGGGTTTCAGCTCAAAATCATTCCTCTGAAAGCCTGGTGGGCAGATTGCAGCTCTATTTGCATAGAACTGATCAAGCCTGTTGTAATCTCCCAGAGTCCTCTGTGGATGACGCCCAGCAGCATCTCCAGCAGCTTGCTGTTGTACATTCTGCTCCTCAATCACAACTCCATTGTCATCTATCCTCTGTCCATCCTCATTTCTTATGTTCCCTTCTCTGTCAACTAAATGACCCTCAGCATCTGTCCTCAAAACAAGTGGTTCAACCATTTTAGTCTGCTTTTTGGCTTTCCTGATGGTTCTCTCTAGCTTGGCGAGTTCGTCGATGCCTAGAGTCACAAGTTCTTTGTCTTTGTTGCTCCTGGTACTGCGATTATGCATGCACCTGAAATAGACAACAGAGATGTGAAGGAGGTTAGTAAACAGAATATAAAAGCTTAGTCAAAATTCTAAAACTAGAAATCTGAAAGTAATATCTAAGTCGGCAACGGTGCCAAAATTTGATATGCTCAAATTAACCCTTAGAGCTACTCTCTCAAATTAAGAGATCACTGTAATACTTAGGGATCGAATCCACAAGGACTTAAGGCTATCACTCAACAGATTTTAGATTCAAATAAAGTTAAGCAGTCAATAATAAAATAAAACTTAAATAACAACGAAAGCAATGATATTAGGGGCGGATTGTAGGTTCTTGAAATCAATAAAGACAATACGCTAGGCAATGGGAAATTCGCAGATTGACATGAATCGCAGACTACGGACTGAAAGGAATATTTATTAAGACAATTCTAGAACTCGAAAAACTAGTGTAAAACCAATCGACTTCCATCGCAGAGATTAACTATGATCAGATTCTAGAATTCCAAATTCCTTTGCAAATTCTAACAACCTAAACATGCATTATAGATCATATTAAATTTGTTCACAAAATCACTAATCCAAATTCCTTTGCAACTAGTTATTTTGCTCATCTAAGATAGTTCTGGTGATTAACAATGTTTCCACATCTATTAAACAACCTAAGGTCTGATTTCTAGGTGATCAATCTTAAAACCAGTGTTAAAGCAATCTAGATGAAGAACCAATTGATTTATCCTTCCAGTTCTGTAGTTCTAACAATTAATTATCAACCTTTGAATAACCCAAAACCTAACTAGCAGATTACTCAGACATAGCAAGTAAAACACAAATCATAGCTGAATAAAATTGCATTAAGAAAATAGAGTAAAAGATGAAGGGGTTCGAAATTCTTCTCTACAGTGTATGGATTTGTCTCCCCAAAAGCTCTCAATCTAATCTCTCTCTTAGTCTCAATGATAATCAGAATAATGGCCTAACAATGGCTTAGAAAACCTAAATACAAGTCTAAACACGAACTGGGGCAAAAGTGCAAATAGTGGGAAACTTCTGGGCCAAGTTGCAATTTCTTCCAATGAGTTTTTACACTTCTTCGCGACCACGACTGGTGTCGACACCAAGTGGTGGGTGTCGATCGACACCCTGCTCCTTAATGCCCTCCGACTTGGTCTTTTCAGCATCAGCTTCAACATAGCTCCAAAAGGTTCCAAAATCCACAGTTATGCTCCATTTGTACCTAGACCTGCAAAAACTCTATAGGACTCGAAAAATACCAAAAAGACTCTATAAACAAGACTTATATCATGGTCAAAAACTAGCAAAAACCATGATATATCAACAACCACAATATAATAACCAAAGAAGTCTACCACAACATAACTTGATAAGCAAACAAGTCTACCGCAACCACAAGCAAACAAGTCTACCGCAACCACAATATAATAACCAAAGAAGTCTATCATAACATAACTCGGTAAGCAAACAAGTCTACCACAACCACAAGCAAACAAATCTACCACCATGATTCTCTACCTAATCTACAATCAACCGATACCTACAACTCGATAAGCAAACAAATCTACCACCATGATTCTTTACATAATCTACAGTCAACCGAAACCTATAACTCGATAAGCAAACAAATCTACCACCATGATTCTTCACCTAATCTACAATCAACCGAAACCTACACATACATTTCTTACAACCATTGTCAAATCCACAATATAAGTAAACATACCTTTTTGTTAGCTGCATCCGTAATTCCTCCACCAGCACTATCTCTAAGTTGTATCGATCCCTGCACGATTTCCATCGAAGTAGAAGATAAGGAAATAACTCGGGATTATTTTCAAGTCTCCCAAATTTTTCATCCAATGTTGCCACGGACTCATATGCCCAAATGAGAAGGTCGTGGACACATCCTTGGAACGTGTAGCTAAGTCCTCCCAACGATGCAATTTTAACCGACGAAATTAACTGCTTAAAGCTGACACGACCCCATGGATAACTCTCAAAAGCTGCCTCATCCAACACTCCTTTAGCACAATCCAAAGGGATTCGCGAATTCCGATGAATACCAAATATGGCTACGTGCAATGTGAATAGCAAGCCAACCTCGCAAATTCCGATGAATATCAAATATGGCTACGTGCAATGTGAATAGCAAGCCAACCATCTCCTTTTTCGCAGACGACCATGTACTGCATATTTCAAAAACAGCAACCAACTCATGCCAATTAGGCCCGACCCCTGTACTCACACCCATCTCTTGCCAGAACTCTCTATTATCAATATCCCACTCATCATCAGCCAAGGGCTCACAGTTTAGGCCAGTGATCTCATGAAACTCGTGAAGCAAAACCGCAATAGACACCCACCAATAAGTGACCAGATTTCGTAACTCATTTGCACTGCCAATTGGTTTGTTATGAAGTTATGGACCGTACTCCTAGCCTATATGTAACGCTTCTTGGCAAGCTTCAACATCACGCCAACCTGAGAATCGAGCATAATGTCGTTGTAGACATCCTCTCCAACACCCTCAAGCAGCAACCCAAAGTTCAACAAATGACAATAATGATTCAAACTTCTCTTTTGCATATGAGATTTCCAGGCGGAAACAATCTCGGTGGATACTCTGGTTTTCGCCCACTCTTATCATTTGAAGATGCCATCTAACCTGCAAAAACTTAACATATATATCAATCAATACATCTATCAAACAAATCTACCACCAATACGTAAGCTATCAAACAAATCTACCACCAATACAAAAGCTATCAAACAAACAAATCTACCACCAATACAAAAGCTGTCAAACAAATCTACCACCAATACAAAAGCTATCAAACAAACAAATCTACCACCAATACAAAAGCTGTCAAACAAATCTACCAGCAATACAAAAGCTATCAGACAAATCTACCACCACGACCATTCTTCAATACCAACAAAATCTAAGCTATCAAACAAATCTACCACCACTATATACCATATATCAAACAAATCTACCACCACGACCATCTTCAATACCAACAAAAACATAATCTGTCAAATTAATCTACAACCATCATCGATATATATTAAAAATCTACCATGACGACTCTGTAAGTTCTCACCAGAATAATTTTTCCGGTCAACTTTGTACCAATCCGAGCCCGCAAATACGATAGATTTGTATAAAAAAAATAAGTTACAGTTAGTTTTTCATATTTAATGTCCTCAAAAATCTCGATAAATACAGCAAAGTGGTAACCAAAAAAAATTTGCCGACGGCAGACCTTAGATTTGACGATGTAGAGGTAAAATTCCTCTCAGTTTTGTCAATAGACACTTAGTTTTCTACAATAAACGAACTTGCTCTTAGTTTTGAAGCTTAAACTCAAATCGCCGGAAATTAAACACCTACAAACTGCTACATTTGCTCCGCCGACACTGTAACCGGACCTCCCAAATAATTCCTTAACGGATTCCGATCCCTCGCCTATAACGCCGCCAGAGATGGAAAAGCTTTCTTCAGATCAGGCAAAAGAATCACCTCGCCGTCGCGAACTTCTTCTTTTTTTCCAGGTTTTGCTGGTTTGTTATTTTTTCCCTTTTTCTTTCTTTTAACATTTTTGATGTTTTTTGTTTATTTTATTACTAAAATAGCATTTTTGTTATTATATCCCAAATTTTAATTTTGATGTCTTTGCACAACTTTGTAAAGTTATTTTAGTTAGTGAGTTGTAGAAGAGTGTTATTCTAATCAATACTCAATTTAGTAAGGTTGTTTTAGATAAATAACTTAAGTTTAAATCCTTTTAATTACAACTAGTTCTCTGATTCTCTCTATATTAATCAAAAATTGGATCTATCTTATAACCAAAAACCAATTTGTATAGTCAAACAGTCTGGTACGTTTTCAAGTTCATTATTAATTGCTCGGGTGGCCGTGGAATTGAGTGAAGATGTAGTCCTTGAATTCCTCCTTTGCTGCTTCAATGTTCTCATCCGGTATAAGGATTCCTCCCTTAAGAAGTCGCAGGGGGGTCTGTTTCTTCTCAGTCAGGGCGACCCCTGGAAACACAGGATAAACCGCATCGCCAAGGGCGCTCCAAAACTCGTTTGCCGAAGGGTTCGCCAGTGAGAGCTGAAAAGGCTGACTCTCCTTGAGACGAAAGCACCACCCCTCCAAAGCAAGTGCAGGGTATGATGTCAAGCGCTGCTCCGGACAGCATCTCGGGGGCTTCCTCAGGCCTGCTGGATCAGAACAGCTCCGTCAAACATGCCCCTCCTGACAACGCCTCCGCTGCACTAGTAGCAGCATGTCAAGAGAACCCCTTCTTCTTGGTCCCACAAAAGAAGAGTGGCCGCAAGGCCGCAACATCTCTATAAATCTCTGTAAATATGTTTTTGTCTGGAACGTCAGAAGGCTTAATAGCCAGTCAAGGCAAGATATGACCAAGGCCTGGATTAATAGCCACAGGCCATTTTTTGGAGCGTTTTCGGAGACGCACATAAGACTATCTAACTCTAGGAGAATTGAGAGTGCTATCCCCAGGGGGTGGAGGTACCATGGGAATTTTTCTTCTCACCAGACGGCCGGGATCGTTGTAGTCTGGGATCCTCGAGTTTTGGTGATGATTTACAAAGAGACCGCCCAGTTAATAACTTGTGGAATCTTCTTAGAGGCTGAAAAAGTCAGTTTTACAGTCTCTTTCGTCTACGGGTTCAATCTTCAAGAGCAGCGGCTTCAACTTTGGGCAGAGCTAGCAGATTTCAGTGCTATCTCTCCAATGCTATCGCACCCTTGGGCAGTTGTAGGAGATTTCAATCAAGTACTTCGTACCTCACAACATTCGAACTACTTGATATCGGATGTCGACTCTGTGGGTATTGATGATTTTAACCTTGTCCTGCAGGAAGCAAACCTATTCGAGGCCCCATCTAAAGGGCAACCCTTCTCCTGTGGAATAAGAGCGATGTCTACCCTATTGCAAAGAGAATAGACCATGCTTTAATTAATTAGTTATGGGCCACGAAGTTTCTTGATTCATACGCGGAGCTTTTAGATCCTCTGCAATCTGACCACTCCCCGATCTTGTTCTCTTTACCGTCATTGAGGAGAGAGGCCTGCAAACCCTTCTGGTTTTTCTGCCATGTGGTGGACCACCCTGCCTATGTAGACGAGGTGGCAAGCTCCTGGACCCCTGGCGAAGTAATTGGGTCAGAACAGTTTAAGCTCTTGTGAAGTCTGAAGCAGTTAAAGCCGGTGCTCAAGCGAATTAATAAAAACCACTTCAGTGGCATCTCCCAAAGGGTCAAAGATCAGGAAAGGACTACTGCAGCACTCCAGCGCCAGGTCCTCACCTCCCCTGACCCTAATGTAGCTCTAGAGGAGCGCAATACTCGCCAGAGATGGAATGTCTTGCTCAAGGCTGAGGAGAAGTTCTATAAGCAGTGCTCTAGGGTGCAGTGGCTACATGTTAGAGACAAGAGCACCGCTTTTTACCACAAGTATGTCACTCTGAGGCTGTCTCAAAACCACATCCACTTTCTTAGAGACGAGGGTGGTAGAAAGCTGGTGTCGGCTCCGGACATCAAAGAGCATGCCGTTGCTTATTTCAGGTCCATCTTTGGATCCACAGATATGCCTCTCTCTCCGGTTTCTGTTGAAAGACTCCAAGAGATATTGCCTTTCAGGTGCTCAGATATTCAAATTGCAGCTCTTCAGCGCCCTGTGCTGGAGGAGGAAATTCTCAAAACACTTTTTTGCAATGCCTCTGAATAAATGCCCAGGCCCGGATGGTTTCCCTGTAGAGTTCTTCAGGGCATCGTAGAGCCGTGTGGGTCCGCAAGTGGTTGCAGCGGATCAGGAATTCTTTAAAAATGGCTGATTATTGAAGGACCTCAACACTACGTTTATCGCTCTTATCCCCAAAACCCCCGAGGCTTGCTCACTGCGGGATTTCAGGCCTATAAATTGCTGCAATTTGGTTTATAAGATTATCTCCAAGATCATTGCAAACAGATTAAATACGGCCTTGCATCAGTGCATCTCCCCTAACCAAGCCGCATTTCAAAAAGGGAGAAGTCTGGGAGAGAATGTCCTGCTTGCTACAGAGCTTATTCGCAATTACCAGAAGTCAAACTGCCCCCGAGCTTCGATGCTAAAGGTGGATATCAGAAAAGCTTTTGACATTGTATGCTGGGATTTTGTAGGTAAAGTTCTCGAGGCTCAGAACTTTTCACTGCTTTTCAGAGAGTGGATTAGGCAATGCTACTCTACTCCCGGATTTTCTATTTTGATAAATGGCGAACCGGCTGGCTTCTTTAGAGGACATAAGGGATTACGTCAAGGGGATCCTATATCACCATACTTGTTTATTATGGTCATGGAAGTGCTCTCTCGCTTGCTGGATTCCGCAGCAACCGCTGGAAATTATGGCCTTCACCCGCAATGTGAGAATCCCTTAATTACTCATCTCCTCTTTGCAGACGACCTCCTGGTTTTCTCCGATGGCTCAGCTACCTCGATGGCGGGTATAACAGAGGTTCTGAGGCAGTTTAAGGAGCTCTCGGGGCTAGATATGAAGCTTCAAAATCTGAGGTTTTCTTCAGTGGTACTCAGAAGCTGATACAGCAGCTTTGAGCGCTTCGATGGGTATCAGATTGGGAAGCTTTCCTACTCGCTATTTGGGTTTACCGCTGAGTTCACAACGGCTCTCTATTTCTGTCCTACAACTTTTCCTAGAGAGGATTTCTAATGTCCTTCACTCCTGGACTACCAACTTCCTCTCACTCGCTGGAAAAGTCACGCTGATCACTTTGGTTATCTTTGGCATGGTTAATTTCTGGAGTCAAGTCTTTATGTTGCCGAAGGAGTTCTATGCCAAAGTGGACTCCATTTGCTCTGCCTTTCTTTGGAAGAATAGAACTCATTCAGCGGCGGGCGTTAGAGTCGCATGGAAAGAGGTCTGCAGGCCAAAAGCGAAGGAGGGTTGGGGATCAGGGTTCTCGCAGATTTTGAGGCTGTTTTCAGACTGAAGCAAGTCTGGAACTTATTCGCTAGCGCTGGATCTTTATGGGTCGCATGAGTGAAGGGTAATGTGTTTAACCGAAAGAATTTATAGGACACTCTGGACTCCAATAGATTCTCAAGAGCCATTTGAAGCATGCTGCAGCTCAAGCCAATGCTCTCTACATTCCTAAGGTGTGAGATTAGGAATGGTAAGTCTGCCTCCTTTTGGTGGGATGTCTGGACTGAGCTTGGGCCCCTCATCGAGTATGTGGGGGTCTCGGGCCTGAGCAGCCTCCGTATCCGACTGGATGCAAAGGTGATCGATGCCACAGCTGACAAAAATTGGTCTCTACCGAGCGCACGTTCGGATGAAGCGCAATCGCTGCAGGTTCTCCTAACAACTATCCCTCCTCCCGATCCTTCTAAGGGGCCTGATATATACCGTTGGCGGTCCTCCTTTGGCTCCTTCACAACAAACTTCTCTTCCAGAGGGATTTGGCAGCAATTGCGGGATGCAAGACCAATAGTCCCCTGGGCAGATTTTGTGTAGTTGCGGGAAGGTATCCCTAGAGCTGCCTTCATACTCTGGCTGGTTATCCTTCAGCGACTTCCTACCAGAGATAGGATCAGAAGATGGGGCATGAATGTCTCACACTTATGCCCTCTATGCTCCGCCGAAGCCGAATCTTACGGCCACCTCTTCTTTGACTGCGCTTTCTCAAAACAGATCTGGGAGGCTTTCTCTTCCCGACTCTGTCCTGAAATTACCAATTCTCAGCTCACTGAAATTGTGAATCTCCTCCTCAACCAACCTCAGCCTTCTGAGTCACGTGGATTATTGTCAAGCTTCTCCTTCAAGCTATTGTCTATGCTCTGTGGTGCGAGCGTAACGACAGAATCTTCAAGGCTTCGTCCTCGCTGGTCAGCGCTCTAAAATCGAAGGTTGATGGGCTTATCCGAGACCGGTTACTTTCCCTTCCGCAGCGGGATGGCACTCCTTCTCTCCTAAAAGTTTATTTCAGTTGTATCTCTTTTCCGATTTAAATTGGTCTTGCTTGGCTTCCGTTCCTAAGAGTAAGTATTCTAGGTAAATATTTGTTTCTTTTTTTCTTTGTAAGCGGACATTTTGTGTAACGGCTCTTTGGTATAAATCTTAACATTAAAACCAAAAAAAAATTACTAGTACGAATCTGGGATCCAGGAGAAAATAGTTTAGATGTAAATGATTGTTCGATGAAAAGAAAAAAATTACAAACAACAAAAGAGAGGAGAAGATGATTCATCTCTTGGACTACCATCGTTTGCAGAAGAGATAATATTTGAGGTTTCTTCTCTCTATCATTCAAAATCAACATATCCTCTAAGAAGAACACATCAAAGCTCTTTTGGCCAACATCAGATATTTTGATTTCAACAAAGAGACAAGGTTCAATTTCATCACCAATAATTTTTTAATTTGATTGTATTTGTAAATGTAATGTCAAATGCATTTTAGAGTTTTATAACCAATAAAAAGTACATGAATTTCATAACCAATAAAAAGTACATGAAAGGATGAAGGGACATAACAGATTTCATCTGTTTGCCTATAAAACTTTTAAAAGGAAAGCTTGGTTACTCTCCACTTCTTCATTGAAATTAAAATACATTTCTTCCCTAAAATTAATTCAGTTTTCTTTATTTGTGTTAACAGTTGTATTGGGAAGTTGTATTGGGAATGATTGTCTATTTTGTAAATCAATATATTTTGATTTGTGGAAAGAAAAAAGAAAAGAAAAAAAAAATCTCAAACATAACACAACAGAAGGTATAAGCAACAAAGATTAGGACTTTGTTTTTATACGATTAATACAATTAACACTAATTAAGGTAACTTAGTTGTTTTTGTCGATTCATAAGCAGCATCAGCTGAAGAGGTATCTATGTCGTTTAGACCCAACTCCTCGTTTTGTTCCCATGATCTCTCATACTCTTCATCTGTCAGTTCAAACACAACAAAAACATTTGTTACTTGGAACCAAGAGTCCTGCCCTAATCGACAATCTTTAGTCTAATTTAAGTCAACTTCATAATGCAGCTGAGGAAATTTATAAGCAGGAATTATAATCAACTTACATGTGAGCTGATGATCATCTTTGATATCATCTGTTACTGGTGAAACAAAGGAATTTGCTAATTCATCATCAAGAATCAAAGTCCATGGCTGTTCTAAGCTTAGGAGCTGCAAGAACAGATAAGAAAAGAAAAGTAAAAATACAGCTTCATAATACGAACCACATCTCTTATTGCTTTGCTGTTTCTTGCACATCAAGAACAAGAAAAGGATACCTTAGTTAGCCTGGATCCGAATTCTCTCCATTTGTTCTTCTTACTCTCCTCCAAACTGTCACCAAAAGTGAATCCATGGACTCTCGCTAAGCCTGTGAGAAACACATACCACACTTGCGTCCGTAAATAAGAGCTACGATCCATCATTAAGATTGTAAAGCTCCCAAAATCCAAACAATGAAAGCTTTTGTAAGGAAGAGCATAGGATACTTGGATAGTGATGACTTATGTTGCCACGGTTCTCTATATATGTTCTACACTACTTAAACGACTTAAAAATGATTGAAAGACGAATTCAGACTTGACAAGGATAATATTTTAGATCTTGAAAAGTCAATACTTACTTTCTCTGATCTGTGTGACCAGTCCTTCTACTGTTGTTACCATTCCACCAAGTGTACCACCAGCTAGCTCCAGATCAAGCTCTGGGATTTTCACTCCTGCAGTGTCCGACTAATACACGCAAAAGTCATGAAAATATTACCAAACACTTAGAAGGGCCCTGAGCAAGATTCATTGTCAAACCTTTACCAAACTTAAACTACATACATTCTGTTAAAGTATGGCTTTTTCGGAAGGGGGTAATCTTTGACCATAACAAGACCTTATTCTCAGCTTACTTTCAGATACATAGAACAATACAGGAGAAAACTAACCTTGATGACGTCTCGGCTAAGGTCAGCGATGTTCTTCACAGAGAGAGTAATTTTCTTTCCCTTTTTAGGAATTGCACCACCTGGCTTCAACTGCTCACAATTACCCCAAAAATATAATTAATAACCTAAATACCAAGCATGTCTGCAAAATCTCTATCAGGATCAGACCAACGGAACCAAACCTCAGAATTGCGATAGCCACAATCATCACATGTAGATGCCATGACAATAACCTCCTGAAAGTAAGGGATTTCTACTCTATGTCAAGTGGTAAACAACATCTACGAGTTCACCAACAAACACAAATACACAATATTTGAAGGATACTAGTCACAAACATCCGTGTCTCGCACAGCTTCATACATGCTCCACAAGTTGAAGGGAAAGTCATCACCTGTTGGAAATCAACGATAGAAATGTGATACGAAATTTATCATCACCGTCTAAAAAGTTCTACTCTTTTCTGAAGTGCACATTCAACAAAGCTATTCCACAAGTACCTCTTCAGGTGCAGTGTATCTGAACAAGTTATCCGAAATATCAGTGCTATTGCTTTGAGCAATCGCGCGATGACCAGCTGTTGCTCCGATTGTTCCATGTGGTAAACGAGAAGTTGTTTCAGCAGAAGGTGTTTCTGACTGTTCGGTCTGAGATGTGTTCGCAAGATATCCAAGCGCCGCTTGTTGCTCCGGTGTTCGCTCATAGAATCTGATGGTTAAAGAAGGATCTGGTGATGGTGCATGTCTGTCACATATGGTAAACTTATCATAAGCAAAATAAAAAGAAATATATTCTTTTTTTGGTATTTCCCAAGTTGAATATCCTTACGGGTTCTCGATGAAACTGTTTCCAGCAGGATCATCCAAAATGAAGGTGAAGGACGTCTCTGCTTTGGCACAAGCTCTAAGCTTAGACAAGAATTGGTCTATTGCTTCAGCAGTTTTAGGATCCACTCTCTGTGTCAAGAGCAAATCACTAGTTTAAGTATTTCTGTAAAACAATTAAACTGCTCATATGAAAAAAAAATGGGGAAGCTCCAAGTCAGAATTTACCCTGCGTTCTTCTTGAAGGGCACTCAGTTCATCGGCGGCTCGTGCTAATATCCCTTCTACCTGGAAATTAAACAAAATGGAGATTAGATTTCAGTGAGAAAAAGTTAAATTGTTCATACAAAGATGGTTAAGAAAGTAAGGACTTACTGTAGACAAACTTCCACGTTGTGCCTCTGGTGGAATCTCAAAATCCAGTTCGGGAATCTGAAAGCAAGATATTCATGCGAACTACTATCAGTTTCCTGTTCCAAATCAGTTCAGTTTTCATAATGCGAGAAGCAAACTAATTCACAGTTTTCAGGAAGGTTATGAAAAGCGGTTTCTTGTAAATATGCAGGAAGTTGCAAAATCAAACAATAATTAGAAAGAAACCTTACCTTGATAGTGGCTGATTCAGATTTCACAACTTGCCTATCAAATATCTGCATTCAAACAGAAATAATAATTAGGGACGGCTAACATCTCCAAACAAATTGAAAAGAACAAAAAAAATTAGATTTGAAATCAATGCATCAACCTTTACATCGCCAGCTAAAACCTCTAGATGGTAACAGCATCCTCGGGGTTGAATCTCGCCAGCAAACTGAACTTCATTATTCCTATAAAATAGATCAGAGATAAAATCAAAGGCTTAATCTTTACAGTTGAGAAAACCTGAAGAAAAAAAAGATTATTGAATTTGTTTTTGAGATGTTTTCAAAAAGCATCTCAAAAATCATTAAAAGTTTGTACCTTTCACCGCAATGCGGACATTCAAATGCAGATAATAAGACCTGTAACCAGTTAGGGTAAATAAAACACGTTTCTTTATACGAAAAATACAAACTTTGTGGATCCTTCGTGCTCGAGAATGTAGTAAATTCACAGTGAGTACAGTACAAAAAATATGAATATAGACAATGAGCAAAAATGAATAATTCTCAAAACAGAGTACGACATACCTTTCTGAAGTGAGGAATCAAGGTTAATAGAAATCTAGTTGTTCCCTGGAAAAAAGAAAAAAAAAAAAAGCTGATTTATGCACAAAACAAGGATCAGGATAAAGACCAAGAAAGTCTCATGCAACGGAATCTTCACAAATGTGTGTGCGTGTGTATCGATGCATACATTTTCACCGCAACGCATGCACATGCTCTCAACTACATAGAGGGGAGCACCGAATGAATTATCAGCGGAAACAGCTTCAACCACCGATCCAACATCGATCTGTTGATCATTTTCATTGTCCATCATCTCTGAAGTTTCTCCAAACAATCCCAAAAAGAGTTCAAATCCCTAAAATTAGGAAGAAACAAATAATAGTAAGCTAAAAGCATGGAACTTTTTGCTCATCAGAATTCAGAGAGTTCTTTTTTGACAAGCATCACTAATCAAGGTTCCAAAAACAAACCCGACACTAAGAATCTAAAGGAGCTCTTGAAAATCTCAGAGCAGATTGCTACACACAGAAGCTTTAAAACGTTAGACAGACCAGAAACAAAGATATAACAACATCTCAACAATCTTCAGATAATTCTTGTTGAAAAGAATTAAAAAAAAAAACAGCAGACACAGAGATAAACAAGAGTAGTTTCTAGAAACCTAACAAATCCCAGAGTTAATCACAGAATCAAAATCCTAGAAATCATAAGAGTGAAATTTGATATCAATTTCTGATGGAAGTAGAAATATGGAGCCAATTCAAATTTGTGTATCAATGGGAGTGGAAGCAAAACGTAGCGAGTGAAAAGAGAGATACCTTCAAATTTTTACAAACTGTGTGCTGTAGAGATTGCAAGTTTAAACTCAAAGAGGAAGAGAGAGCACCGAAAAGCTCTAGAAACGGCGAGAGAGTAGGAGAATTATCCACGTGATCATTACGTGTTATGCTCATTATTAATTTGGGTTTGGGCTTTTGTAATTCGTTAGGTCACCGGGCCCATTCAGTTTTCTAATTTTTTTATTGTTACTAATCTCCAATCCCGGATTATCCACAAAATCTTAACACAGAGATTGACTTTATTACATAATCTATCAGCGAAATTCAAACCTTGTTCTTAGAGATCACTTTAATATCAGTTTAGCTTTGGAAGTGGATCACAGTTCAAGAAAAGTCTTATTGTTTGGATATTTTGTTTCCGTAGAGAAAAAAATTAGCATAGTATAATCACTCTTAATTATTTATTTTATTAATTTAGTTTGTATTTTATTTTTAGTCGAAATGTTATTTTCTTGTTTTGCTAATCTAATTCAGCGAGGAAGAAAAAACTTGAGGTGGACCTTGACATTTGTTGTGATTTTTTTTTACACGAGTTACAAATAGGAGACGCATTAAAACGCACATACAACCAGATACATTCTTATAATGTTTTGAACTTTTAGATATGATCATATGATGACCGGTGCAAAAAATATTATTATGTTTTCTCAGATCAAATACTCCAGAAAATTTGCAGTGTAGCAAAATGTTTATAAATAGATACATTGAGCAATCAGCGAGGTTAGATAACTTAAGACTTACGAAAGAAAAAGAACTTATGAACATTAAGAAGAGAAATGTGTGAATAATTCACCTTGAGCACGATGGTCATTTACAAGCACCGAGTACACATTGAACTCTCTGCCGAATTTGATGGATGATCTGAAAAATAAAGCAAAACAAAAAACAGTTAGAAGAATAATTCTAAAACCAAATAATCAGAAAATATCAAACATTTGGTAAAAGATTAAAGAGAACGAACGGATTTGGAAGAAGAGAGCTTAGCCCATGTTTTGATAGAGGCACTAATGGTTTTGAGGTGAGAAGAGTAAGCAGCTTCCGTGTTTACGAAGTAAACTGAGTTTTCTGTCGCTTCACAAACCCACATATCGTTTTCTGTATCCTTTGCTCTTTTTATTAAATTGCAGAATCCAACCTGCCAAAAGAAGAAGAAGAAGAACACACAACATTTGTTCAATATATGAAACACTCGTGTAAAAACTAGACAAGATTTTGAGTGTTTGTACATACCACGGATCCGACAAGATTATGGCTAATGAGTGGATCCGTGAATTCATCAGTGGATGGTGTGCAGAAGCTTATAGCAAGAAGACTATTTGAGAATTCTCCTGAATCTGAAAGTTGAAATGATCCATCTGTCGCAAACACCCACTGCTTCTTTTGCTGACCATCAGTGTATGCATCTCCAACATATACAACGTACGCCGCGATATCAAATTCACTAAAAGGATGGTGATAATAAGTTAGTAAGTGTATAGATAAAGCAAAAGTAAAGTGTATACAAATAAAAAAGCTTGGAATGAGATTAACCTTGAAAGAGGAATTTCACCAAGATTCAACAAAGAGATTGGTTTACGTGGGTTGAAAAAGGGCCTGAAGCAGAGAGAAATTAAACAAAATTGATGAGAATAGATTCAGGTATGTCTACAAAGAAAGTTTACACACAAAAATTAACTTACTGAAAACTTTCAGAAGCTTTTGGAGATAAAGGCTGCCATCTTGAGCTAGACCCTCTGGCATGTAAGTAAAGAGTTTCTGAATCTGTGTTCATTGGTACAAGCCCTTTCATTATGTATATTTTCCCTTCTGTTAACTCGGTTCTCTGACACAAGTGGTAGAAAATAGCAACTGTTTTAAGAATCTACAAGAACAAAAGTTTGCTGAATGATGCTTGACATGTACATAGATGGCTCACAGCAAGAACTCACATGTGAAAAAGGTTCATGTAAACTTATATAACCCTTTAGAAAAAGTGCCTTCATTTAGATTTTGGATGAAACATTCAGATACAGGAATGTACCTGCCTCTCCGTGGGATTCCAGATTGTTACGATGGCTTCTTTTGGATTGTGTTTTCCTTCATAACTTAAGCTCGTCAATCCAACAAGTCTTATCCTCATGAATGGAGTGACATCCCTTTCACCTAAACCAGCGTCTTCCAGAGCTTTTGCTACTGATTTTTGCATCTGGTTTTGCCTAGCTGCCTGAGGTGTAAATAGAAACAGGTAGTGAGTTTTGCGCTAAACGATTCTGTTAAGAAAAGACCGAATAATGTTCTACCTCAAACTTTGCTTTATATTTAGTGAAAGATGTCAACTGCTCCGGACTCATATCTGCCATTAGGAGGTCAGGTTCAGAAGCAGTCTCTAAAAGCGTATAGAGCTTGGCTCCTTCTTCGCTGTCAGTGTCGTTCTTGCTGTGGACACCATTGAATTCTCTCTGGTACTCACATGTAAGCCCCTCAACAAGAGCTGCGCGCCTAAATGCAAACAAAAATAATAATAAAAAACTAGGCAGGTAAGAATGAGAGGAATTCCAATCTTTAGCAAAGCTGGAAGATTTGCTATTAAGATTCTTTGTATGTCCCCAAAAACCAGCCACTTCGAAACCTAATCTTTCTAGCTTTGATGAGTTACTTTACTCATGACTCCTTCGACGAGATGCATTTGCCAAATCGATCACATATATGATAAATGTTACTAAAGATTGCTCTCTACAGATATAATGGAAACTTGCCTCTGGTTATGCAGCTGGATCAATCTAGATTCCATCCTCTCTGATCGAACTATTGACTTCTTTTCACCTAACCTGTATAAATAGCAAAGCAAGTTTAAGTTTTTGCCAGAAGTATACAGGAGATCAAGTTGCATTTAAAGGAACATATTTATACTGACCTTTCCTTGTATAGGATAGGGTATATTCGTGTGATTCCAGCTAACGTTTCAGGCACTGGACCTCCATTGCACTTGATACAGTTGAGAGCCAGAGGGACACCAACTTCTTTACCTTGAATAAGAGATCAAGACAGTCATATAAAAAGAAACCAATATGGAAGCACAAAACCACTATGAAATTAGAAAATCAGAGGACGTAGTGACATCCACAGCATAAAGCTACTTACAGAATCCTAGCCGGTCCCCCCAGTGAGCTCTGTATGTCCCATTAATATTCAACAACAAACAGATCGTATTTGAAATCACTGCCTGAAAGTTCGGTTGAATGAAACCATCAAGAAACCAACATGGGAAGGTTTCAGAATACTCTAATAAAATTGAAAGTCTAAGAAACCTCAAGAGGTGATGTTGGGGAAGCCCAGCCAGTAAGTCCTGCCCCACGGATCTTCAGATAAGAAACAAGGACGTGGACATGCTGTAAGTTCGTGATCTAACCATAAGTATGTAATTGCCAAACAAAAGCTTGCAGGAAAATAACTTACTCGAAGCTTCTGCCCAACAAACAACCTTCCAGCATTCAGCTGTTTCGTTAGCATGAGATCCAGAGCAGCATTCATCGAGTACCTGTGATTTTAAGAAAAAAAAATCAAGAGGAAAGAAGACAAGAAAACAGGTATCCATACAACAATAGATGATATGCGGCCACTATAAGATTTCATACCACCCATCAGTGAGTTCTACTTTCACATTGCTGCCACTATCAGAACAATGCGTTTCCTGAGAATCATTATTGGTATTTGGATTTATAGCTGATATGCAAAGCACCATCGTTGAAGAAGCTGAAGCATCACCACTCAGTATCCTCTTGATTGCAGAGCAATGACCATGATTGACCTCTCTCTCATATCTACGCAGGTAGATTAACCATATTAGACTTTGTCTGAGCTTAAATAACAACGAGTTGTGTTGAATGACCGGGAAACCTGTATTTTAGTTCCTCGAGAACATTGGTGATTGTCAGAAACTTTCCTCTGCATTTGTGTGGGTAGTATGTCTCATAGCATGCAAGTTTCCAGACTATCCACCTGTAATGATTAATGACCCACCTAGTGCATATATATAGTGATAGATAGTTAATAGGTGTAGAAATTATTACTCACTGTCTATCTAATAAAATGAGAGACACGCAAGATCATTAGAACGGTCACAAACGTCTTCCAATACAATAAGTAAATAAGATGGGTAGCTTAAAACATTTCAAGGGACAGAGAAATTACTTTCTAGATGCATGTTGTACGGAAGCACCAGACTCTGTCAACATTTGAAGAAACTTTTCAGCTCCAACCACGCTTGAGGAAGACTCATCACGGAATACATATTTATCTGCATTACTTGATTTGATTCTTTTGACATGGTCCGGGACACAAACAATCTAAAACCAGCCCGTGAGAGTGATTTGAGTAAATGAAAAACGGAAATGTATATATAATTCAGGAACAAGTTAAAGGGACAAAAGATTTTACCTTGGTCGTAGCTGTGGGAGGCATTCCAAAATAATCCTTGATATATACTCTTGGAGACCTTTCTGGATATCTTGTAGAAAGCAACTCTTTGGAATTATGTGTAACACAAGATACGACAGACAAACCTGCTGATAGACAGGACACCAACAACTATAAATATGAGAGCCAACCAAACAAATTCACATAAAGAAGTCGTTAATAACAAAATAAAATCATTAAAAAAAATTCCTGAATGTTTTACCATTTGAAGCATGCTGAACATTGTTCTTTAAAGGAGTTTTAAAGGAGGAAGTCCTTGGCTTCTTAAAAGGAGGAACGGAGACTGTCTTTCCCAGTCTTTTCTTTTGGCTACTATCTTGTTTATTGTTTGCGTAAGCTGTATCACTGCGATTTGTAATATCGACAAGTGGCTGATCAGGTACCCTTCCAAATCTTTTAGCTCTTGGAATGAAACCATTTCCCGTGGAATTATTCACTGATATATCGGATGCTAAAGGCCTGTCATGTGGTAGTTCATGTGCAGCAAGTTTAGTAGTATTCAGAGCACAGTCTCTCTCACCATCCGCCGCATCAAATTTCTTGATCAAATTAACCCCTGAAGCTATGCCCTCCAATTTGACTGATCTAAATTGCTTCGAAGATGACCGAAGAGGAGATATAAAACTATTTGACGTATGCTTGTTGCTGGTCTTTCCTTCGTGAGCATTATAGCTTGTGCAGGCACTTGCATTGTTTATACCAGTTTCACCTAACCTTTTATCTGTCTGTGGTGTAACAAACTGATCACCTTCTGCTACATCATCAAAGAAAGTCCCTAACTCAGGGTCTCCAAGAAGGCTTCTCGCACGTTTCAATGCCTCAACAGACACTGACAAAGATTTTCCACCAGCAGTCTGAAACTTTGTTTGAGGCACCTTAGGAGGTGAACTTAAAACTTCACGTCTCTTTATAGATAAATGACCCTCGTATTGTCCTCCCGGAGTTACTGATTGATGCTGAGCCGATGTAGCATCAAACTCCTCGTGTGTTTTTGACCCATGTTGCTGGTGTGAAGAAGACGACAGGTTCACGTGGCTAAATCCATTCAAATCATCTTCTTCTAGTCCTAACAATGCCTTGGCTCTTGCCATACCGGCAGAAGATACATTAACCTTCTTGTTAGAAGCCGTCTGAAAAATAGTGTTGGGTACACCAAACCCACTCTCCCTGTGAAGACCGTTGTTATCTACAGAATCAAACAGAAAGCTTAGTAATATACCAACTGTCATTTCTAAGTAATATTCATTTAATTAACAAAACAAGCTAATAAGAACCGAACTCAAGTAACTTGATATGAGGCTATAATATCAAATGGAACAGCACAAAGAACAACTTTAAATTATAAATGTGCACGCAAACATAATGGAAACAAGACTTTAGGAGAAGAGGAGATAAACAACACACCTGAGTCAATCATATTATCATCCCCATATTGTCGTCCTGGAGTTACTGAATGATGCTGAACCGATGTAGCTTCCAACTCATGTTGCTGGTGGGAAGGAGACGACCGGTTCACGTGGCTAAATCCGTTCAAATCATCTTTTTCTAGTCCTAACAATGCCTTGGCCCTTGCCATACCAGCGGAAGATACATGAACCTTCTTGTTGGAAGCCGTCTGAAAAAAAGTGTTGGGTACACCAAACTCACTCTCCCTGGGAAGAACGTTGTTGTCTACAGATTACAGAATTAAACAGAAGGCTTAGTAACATATCAACTGTCATTTCTAAGAAATAGCCATTCCCTTAACAAAGTAAGATGGTGAGTTTGATTAGTCTGTTCCCTACCAAGCCAATAACGACCGAGCTCAAGAAACTTGAAATGAGGCTATGATTTCAAATGGAACAGCACAAAGAACAACTTTAAATTACAAATGTGCACACAACCATGATGGAAACAGGAATTTAAGAAAAGAGGACATAAACAACACACCTGAGTCAATCATATTATCATCCCCATATTGTCGTCCTGGAGTTACTGAATTATGCTGAACCGATGTAGCATCAAACTCACGTTGCTGGTGGGAAGGAGACGACCGGTTCACGTGGCTAACTCCATTCAGATCATCTTTTTCTATACCTAACAATGCCTTGGCTCTTGCCATACCAGCGGAAGATACATTAACCTTCTTATTAGAAGCCGTCTGAAAAAAAGTGTTGGGAACACCAATACCATTCTCCCTGGGAAGAACGTTGTTGTCTACAGAATAAAACAGAAAGCTTAGTCACATATCATCTGTCGTTTCTAAGCCATACCCACTCCCTTTACAAAAAGAAGATGGTGAGTTTGATTAGTTTGTTTCCTACCAAGCTAATAACATCCGAACTCAAGAAACTTGAAATGAGGCTAGAATATCAAATGGAATAGCACAGAGAACAACTTTATATTACAAGTGTGCACACAACCAAGAGAAGAGGAGATAAACAACATACCTGAGTCAATCATATTATCACCCCCAAGAATAGATAAAGCTTTGGCAATTGAAGCCTCTTTTAATGGGACGGGTCGCCCTAAGGCCGTCCTGAATATCGGCGAATTTCCATCTGAAGTATCCACTTTTCTCTTTTGAGGATTTGAGCATCCTGTGTTGCGCGAATCTGAAAGAGTAGCTAAGAAAAATGAACAATCAGAAGATCTTCCTGAGCCCATATCACCTATAATTTGTAATTAAGTTTCACCTCTTAAGAAATCAAAGGTTCTTCTCTTGTGAAAAAGCGTACCTGAATCAGCTAAAATCGATTTGGCTCTTGCAATCGAAGAGTCTTTTAGAGCTACAGACTTCCCGAGACCAGTCGTGAACATTGTTGGCATCGCTTCCTCTCGTTCTATAAGCTTCGAGCATCCTTCATCAAACAATAATTTCAATCTCCATCAGATGACAAATGAATCGACAAAAAGAAAACGAAGGATCACCTCGGAGCAAGAGATCAGCCATGGAAGGTAGAGGAGGAGCTGTGGATTCGAGCGTCGTCTTGGTTGGAGTAGAATCGGAGATGTCAGAATGGAGAATCCGGCCAGCGACTTCCCACCGGAAACCATCGCCGCCTGAATCGGCAAATAGCTGCCACGTCGTCATTTCCTCAGTTCTAGGGTTTTCGAATCTGTGTCGATTCGTCTATTATCCGAATTAGGAATTCCAGAACAGAAGGGAGGGAGTGGGGAAAATCAGAAAACTACCAAAAGTTTAAAAGATTTCGGGAAGGCGGGAAAGCTGAAAATGATTTTGGGCCGGAAAAATGTGAGACGCAATGATGTCATTGTGGGAGAGACGACATAGCGTTCCAAGTATAAACAAGTGAGATGTACGGCGTTTTATGGAGATATACACGGCACGAATGTTAAACGTAAGTCATTAATGCCCTTTGGCCCCAATAGTTGACCGAGAAGAGTTCATTGTTTAAACTAGATGAGTACCAGCGCATCTTTGTTTTATAATATAGGCTCTGATTGGTGACATGAGTTATCATTGATTAAGTTTTAGTTAAGAGTTTAACTCAAAAATGTTACCAATTAAGTGTTAAATTAGATTTTTTGATTTTAAGTTTGAGTTATAATGAGTTATGGCTGATGTAAAATTTTGAGTTATCTCTTTGTTAAATTGCTAACTCAAGAGTTAATGCTAAATCAAAGAAAAAGTGATGATTTAGCATTGGAGTTATCATTTTGTGTAACATTTACGTTAGTTTTCAATTTTTGCTATTTTTATCAAATTAATTTAAACATATATTTATTTTCATTTTATTTTCAATAAAACTTACTTGATCAACTAAAATAATTTTTTGTATTACTCAATATTTTTTATTTGTTTTTTAGTCAACAACTTTTTAAATTTTAATAAATTTTTATTTGGTCTATAATTTTTAACTTGTTTTTATTTGACTATATTATGTTTAAAATATTATTAATTTATTTAATCTAAATTTATCATTATTATTTATTCTAAATTAGTTTATGTTTACTAATATATACTACAACTTAAAAAATAAGTATTCCCACATAATTAGATATACATGTTTTTTTTAATTTGCTGTATTTTAAAGGTAATATTAAAATCTTTAATCTTTTTTTTATTAAAATTTGTAATAAATTATAATTAACTTTTAAATCTATTTTAATTTTTAATTTTACTCATAAAATACTTTTAGTTTTCAAATTATTATTAATTTTTATATTAAATAATACATAATGCAAGTTATACATCAGAAAAATTACCAGTCATCTATTTGGACAAAAATGTTAAGTCAAATTTATACAGCACACTTACCACATAAATCTACTGTTTTTACCACATAATTTTACTGTAAATTACATCGAATTATAACATCAACTCTAACTCGATTTTAAAAATACATGTAACCAATCGGAACCATAGTTTGTTAAAAAATTTAATTAAAACTAGGGAATGTCTGCGCGATGCGCGGATTTAGTCTGAAAAAAATAACTATTTTATTTTTATTTAATTTTGGTTTGAATAAATTAATTTGATCCATTTTTGTTGTACTATTTTAGCTGTGTTGCTTTTGTTATAGAATTTTGTCAAGCTCTTTTGTTAGGTTCGTAACTATTCGAATGGTACACATTTTATATTAGTGTATGTTAGGTTTGCAACTATTTGAATGATATACATAAATTATCAATAAAATATATTATCTTCTAATTCTCTCACTAATGTGGGTTATGGTGTTTTGTTTTGTTTTTGTTAAAAATTCAAAACAAAAAAAAAATTATGATTATTATAGTGGATCTTCAGAATTAATTAATTGTTAATATATAAATAGTATAATCTACCAACATATCTCATTTAGTTTCTTTTTAATCAACAAATATTATAAAAATAATTATTTAAATTTTAATTGAAACCTTAAACTTTTCAAACACATAGAATATATTAAGAGATTTCCAATTCTTACTTTCTTAATATTAGACAAAAGTTTTTTTTTTTTTACTAAATTTGGCATTAGACCAAAGTTACATAACAAAATTATAAAACATTCCAAGAAATGGTATAAGACAACTTCTAGCCAACTAAGCTGAAACATCAATATTATTTATCACATTGTTCCGGGTACATAGAGAAAACTAAAAGCAAATGATGGAGATGAGAAAGGTAGGATATCCTTTACGTGACAATAGGAAGGCGATACAAGAAATTTCTTCTCCTGTTGTGTATGGCTTCAATGACTGTGTCTTGCAAAATTTTGTTGTCCCTGCAAAACTGACATAAACATAGGATACGTTTTTATTTTCCTTAACTGCCATCAGCAAAGCAATTGCCTTAGCTTCCAAAGGAGTTAAAGTTGAGCAATAAATGATTTGCCATGAAGGATAGACATTTTCTTTTTATAAAGATTCCAAGCAATGCATGTTGGTGGGGAGATACCCATAATGCATATGTGAGACAGACATATTGCTTACAAACACTGAATAATATTTCAGTATTTTTTATATTTTTGTGTCCATGAGCTCCCTGGTTTGAAGGTCATCTTGCCTTAATTTAGATTCATACCATAGTTGCTTACCCACGATTGCATTATTTTATATATATATATATATATATAGCATTTATAAAATGGGGAATGAATTCTTTTCAATTTCAAAAGACCAAACTATTCCTGGCTTTTCATAATCACCAACCTTTGAAGGAAAAATAAGGAAGCCATACCTTGATAGTTAGGACAATTAAGTATGAATGTTTAGAGATTTTGTTGAAGAGAATTGGACACCATTGTTACCCACTTTGGAGAATATCTAGAAAGCAAATCAATCAATGGCTATACTACCTATTAGAGAATAGTTTAGAAGATGATATCTGTTTGCAATGACAGCTGAAATTATGGGCACATACATTCCAGGAAAATGAACAACCAAAAGGGAATAATTGTAATATCGTATAAGGAGAGAGAGCCTTGCATCCATCTGAAGTTGGAACCAAAAAGCCTTGAAGAGCACTAAAGTAAAACTTCATAGTCTCTTAAGTGATTAAGCTTTTGGAGCTTCTCCAGTCCATAGCATTCCCACTATTTAAAGTTAAGCATCACCAAAAGATAATCGTTGCAAAGTTTCAGCACCACCAAAATTAAAAGGAACCAAAAAGAGATGTTTTTTTTGTAACATATAGTGGCTTATTTGGAGAGGTGATCACACATATGAAGAACATCATTAACTTTCTTTTATGTTCGATCCAACAACTGCAAACAAAAAAATATTAGCCTAATTTTGAGATGGATGTCAAAACTTGCATATCAAGCTGACCCTATAAACATTGTCCTTGTCAATCCAGTAATAACTGAGATTAAATATTTTAAAAATTAGTATTATCCGTTTGTATGAGAACTTTTTTTTTTTTGTTCCTCCTTTTTTTCTTCACATACGACATAATGAGATATGAATCCTTTCTCGCTAACATCTTGGAGCTATTTTCAGATATAATCGAATTTCATTTGCAGTTTCGATTAATTCATCGTACCCGCAACTTTTTAACCGTTTCTTTTTTCTATCGTTAGTTTCACTGTTATGGCTGTAAATCCAGTTTGTTCTTGCTTTAATATGGTCGTTGGTATGAACACACCTTATCTTCTTCGCCGTCTGTTACATCCTTAAACTCTAGGAACAAAACGTATGCCCCGCCTCCTTTGCAAACTCTCCCTTCGAGTTGTTCTTGCTAGCTATGGTTTCTAGGTTTGTTCCCTCTGATTGAGTTTCCTTTTCGTTCATTGTTGCTTCTTTTTAGCTGTTTCAATGTACTTATTTGAGTTAATGAGTTTTGGTTCACAAATGGTGCTAATTTTTTTGCTTTCGCTTTAAGTGCCCAACTAAAAGAGAACTGTAAAATGGTGAGTGCATGAACTAAAATTCTTTAAAGAAATCTAGAAATCTTAAAAATATAAATGATTGGTACTGTATCAGTAATATTTTTTCCCTCGTAGTATGTGTAGCTTTAAAAAAACTAATACTTTGTTCTTTGCATGGCAACATTTTGGAATCGATCAATTGAAACAAACGGTGGTGGTTGATCTATGACAGTAACATTATGTACACTTTTACTTTGCAAATAGTGGATATAATTATGAGGAAAAATAATAAAATACATGAAAATCAAGAATTTTTGTGAGTGGGACAAAGACGCGTAACATAATTTTGGAGGACAAAGCTTACAATTGTTGAGCCGAGATCTCCTATCTTATTATGCGGTGTCTTCTCCACCGTTTCTATTTCAGCCGGAGATTTTTCTGTATTTGCAAGGTATCAACTTTCGTGACGTAGAACTTGGTGGCGAGGTTTTATAAGCTTTCGTAGGCTAAAGGAAGCATCATAGGAGTTTGGCTTTTAAAATTGATGAATGATACTAATAATTATACAGTTAATAAGAAGAAATGGCAACGGAGTTGGTGGAAGCCAAATCGATAACACAAAGTAAACTGAGTATTGGGAATTCAGAGAGAATCTGAAACTCTCAATTGTTTGCAATGTAAAGGTAAACAATCATTAATGGGGCAAACGAAATGGACTCTTAATTATCTATATCGTTAATACATTTGAAGAGCATATATTTTTTATTTAGTTAAAATGCTGATGTTGGCAAAAAAAAATTAAAATGTTGATGTGGCAACATTTTAGAGAATTTCATTTTGGCTGATGTGGACACCTTCTGGAGCCCCAAACAGCTTCTTTTATTTAGTATAGATTTATTTTATCGTATATTTAAATTTTACTTAATGATGCTGTGTATTGGAATAAACATGCAATATGTATGTACGTATTATGTAGATATTGATTATATATGTGACAAATAGTTTATTGATCATGAAAATGTGAAATATGTTATGCGTTGTATATATAGAATAAATTAAATAGATATAATGTATTTTAGAGAAGTACTATATAACAAAAAAGTAATTAGAGAAACTCTTCAAATCACAATATAAGTAGAGACGACTATTTTTAGCAGGTCGTATTTGTTCTTGGCGCAGACTAATTAAACATTTCTAATCACTACTTTTTCGGTCACATATCACGCTGTAAATCTTAATTTATTTTATTTTTATTCTGATTATTTTTGTGAGGTTTTCATTACATTAACAAAAAATAAAATATACATTTATCAAACATATAAAAACCAAAACAAAGATATTTAAATAGCACACAATTAAAAAGTAAATAATTAATTAGTCTAACTTTAATTACATAATAATAATAATTTATTAATTACAAAAATTAAAATGACAGATGTCACTCTCTCATGTGTTGATGTGGCACTCAACTGGAGAGAGTTGACCATCTTTTATATTATAAATGAGATTAAT